GGGAGTTGACAAAGAGCATGATGGTCGGTCTCGATCAGAAAATGTTCACCATCGAGATAATGGCTGTATTTATATACGCCAACGAGAATAGCAAGAAGTTCTTTTTCACTTACACTGTAGTGTAGTTGATGTTTGAGTAATTTTTGGGAGAAAAATGAAATTGGAAGCCAGTGTGTAACTGTTTCTATGGGATTATCCGGGTTGAAATCTTCGGATTTGTCGTCTTCCTGTAATAGGATTCCACCAACGGCAACATCAGATGCATCGACGGAAATTTTTCGACGGAGTTTAGGGTTGAAATGAACCAATAGTGTAGTATTGATCAGGGATGATTTCAGAGAATCGAGGGCTTGTTTATCAGCAGGGAGAATTTTGAATTTTCGTTCTTTTGAAATTAAACGATAAAGTGGTGCAGCGATTGAGGAATAGTTTTTGATGTAACGGGAGAAATAGTTGTAGCAACCCAGGAGGGATTGCAATTCACGAACTGTTTTGGGATATCGGAGGTTGACTAAGGCTTGAACCTTTTTAGGATCAGGTCGAATTCCATCACCTGAAACTAGGTGACCTAACAAGAGAATTTCGGTTTGACCGAAGTGGCACTTCTCGGGTTTAACCTTTAGGTTATATTTTCGCAAACGATCCATTACAAGTTTCGTATTTGCGATCAACTCTTCAAAAGTTGTACCGACGATGGGAATGTCATCGAAGTACCCAATACAGTTAACATATTGGAGTCCTTCTAGAACTTTGTTCATGAAGCGCTGAAAAATGAACGGAGCACCGGCAAGTCCCATGGGGAGTCGCTTGTATTGGTACTTACCATCCGGGGTGACAAATGCGGTTTTTTCTCTTTCGGAAGGAGGCAACTCTATTTGGTGGTAACCTTGGGCCAAGTCAAAGAGATTGAAAAATTTTCCACCTCGGACGACTTCCAGACAGTCGTCGATTCGTGGCATTGGATGTCGAGGGATTTTGGTGAGTCGATTAAGTAATCGGTAATCGGTAACCATCCGATATGAACCATCAGATCGAGGGACGAGGAGACAAGGTGCACCTCCAAGTGCGTCCGAAGGTTCGATTAAATCATGATCAATCATATCATTGATTATTTCACGAAAGACACCACGACGATGAATGTTACAACTATATGGTTTTTGATAGGGAATTATTTGATCTTCAAGATCGATTTTCACTGAACACACAGAAGATGGAACGAAACCAAGATCGTTCTTATGTTTTGAAAAAATATCTTGATAACTTTCAAAAAGTTCAAGAAGTTCTTGTTGTTGAGATTGATTTAAATCAGGGTTAATCCTTGACTTAATTTTTTCGATGAAGGGTTGAATTTTATATTCATTGAGTTCTTTTTCACTAACTAACATGCATCGCGCAATTAGTGATTGTTCCGAAAAGTTTTTGGAATTTTCTTTTTCATTATTAGAGGGAAGGTTAATTGTTGTTAAATTTGGATGATGAATTTGAAGATTCGAGGAATTATTAATTGTTGAGGAGGTTTGATTGTTCGAATGAGTTGAGGGAACTGGATTAGAATCCAAGATATAATCAGAAGCAGCATTACCAGTAACTTTAATAGAAGTTTCAATGATGAAATCAGTTTCATCGGGGGTACAGAATCGGAAATAGAAATCAGGGTTATCTAATTCAGGAGAATTGGGAGTTTCTTTAACAGAAATATTATATTCATTTCCATCAGAGAAAATTTTCATGTAATAAACATGAAGGAAAGCATTACCAAGGAGAAAAACGGGTTCAAATTTTTCACAAATTTGGAACTTGATGATGCGGGATTCGTCCATTCCATTATGCTTGAAGATTGCATATGCAAATCCAAGAGAATCAACATACACACCAGAAGCAATACCTTTCAAACTTCTGTTTACCTTGATGATGTGAGCCTGAAGATAATTAGCGAGACCAGCATCAATTACACAAGCGGATGCGCCAGTATCTACCAACACTTTACCTTCTTGGACTCGGGATTTATCGGGCAAGCAGAGAGTTAAGTTAACTTGAGGCATATGAGAAATTGCAGTATTTCCTACTTGAGAAATTTGCCTAATATCTTTCGATATTGCAAATCCAACATTTCCTCTAAGTCCACTTTGGATTGGTTCGGGGGGAGACGGGGGTCTATTTTCGAACGGGTTTGGGTTAGTTATAACTTGGGAAATGGGAGCGAGAGTGTTTACTTGTTGGGGAGGTAATTGAATTTGAGGGACTGGTTGATCATGCTGAATTAGGGTAGCAAGATTAGTATGAGCCGCGGGTTGAGGGTTAAATGGTTGTCGACCATAACCTTGATTTTTACCTTGATAAGGAGGTTTGATGCCTGCAGCTTCTTGAGCTTTACGGTAAGCGAGTTTCGAACAATTTTCGATCGTGTGATCGTCACCTTTGCAATAATTGCAAAATTTTGCATCTTTAGATGCCGATGAATCCTGACGCTTTTTATAATTAGGATTCGAGGGAGGGAAGGTATTGTTAGTCTTTAACAATTTAGCAACGGAACTTCTATCCTGATTACTAACAGTTTTAGTTGGAACATTTTTAGAAACTTTTTGTTTATTTTGATTATTTTTATAATCAAAATGAATTCGAGTCAAATGATTATAAATTCGAGTTTTATCATCATTTATACCTAAAGTATATATATCGTCTCTAATATATCGAGGATATGTTGGAGAACGAGATTGAGAAAGAGGAATCATTAGTTGGACCAAACGCTTTGGTAACTAATCTTCTCATATCAGAGAAAATTTTCAGGATGAAATTCGGGATTACAACAATTTCTCAGCTCGAAGTCGGCACTATATTGACTCTCAGGGTCTTCAATTTTTCGAAGAGGGAATTTACGTACTCGTTGTAGTCGGTAATTTCTTCGAGACCAGCAGCACTTGTTTTAATTTCATGCGCCATAGACTTTTGGAGAAGTCTTAATCTTGTTTCATCGTCCACGTTTTCCTTGGACAATCGATCTTTGGTTTTAACCAACCATGAGTATTGGTCCTCTCCTGATCGGAACTCAGGGACATGAGGGTCAGTCTTCAGTTGTTTCATCAACTCGAAGAAAGTAGCAGGGGTGAGATTGTCATTCGAAGTGACTGATGGATTGATGGATGGAGGTGATGGCTCACTAATATGAGCACCAAAAGAATTTAGAATATTCTTAATTTTATTAAGCACACAAGGGAAGGGAAGTGCATAAAGTTCTGGATGAGTTAAATTAAAATTGTCTCATCATCTCTTCCAATATTTTTAAGAGTTGAATTTCGCATTCGGAGATGCTTTGGGATCGAATTCCAAAATCCAATTTGGAATTTGTTGATTTTTTATCTCCTCTACGAGGATGTTCAGGATTTCTTCAGATGAAGCAGTTTCACCGTCGAGAAGAAGGAGATGGGTTGACACGATGTCGATTAGCTTTTTCGTAGCTAAAGATCTGAGTGGAATTGGAGCTTTCCACAGATGAAAGAGGTCGAGAACTTCATTAAATGAAAGATCTCTGAGAGATTTTTGGGTGTGAATCACAGTGGACACACGAGTTGGTGGTCGCGGGTTGACCGGAGTAAAGATGGATTGAGGTGATTGAGGAACAATAGTTTCGTCCTCTGATTGTTCAGGTTGAGAAAGAGTTGGGGTGGGGCGAGGTCGAGCTTTCGCAGCTTTCGCAGCGGGCATTAGCAACACGTGTGATTGCAGCGATTCTTCCACGTTTAGGGGCATGATGGAGATTAAGATAACTCAAGAGGGTTCAGAAAAAGAAAACAAAAGCACAATGAATCTGAGATTCGGTAAAGAAAAGGGAAGCACTTAGAAATTCAGGGATCCTGCCTGGGTCGCCAATTTGTGGGGTTAGATTTGAGATGAGGGGGTTGATGATCACTTTTAGATCGATGGATGGATTTGAGTTAGAACTCGGAAAAGTCTCTAGACTTCGGAAGGAAGATTTTCGGTCCCACAAAACCGATAACAGATTCGTTTAGGATCACTGAATAACAAGAGCACTCAAATCTAGACTCACTTAAGTGTCTTCGTTTTCACTATTTAACTTAATTCTCTTGAATTGATTGAGAAGATGGAGAAATTTAAAGATTTCTGAATAAATCAGATTGATGGATGGATTTGAAAATTAACACGTTTTTTGAAAGAATTTTTAATTGAGTAAGTTAACCAAATGAACGTTAAAACATTACTGAAGAGAGAAGAGGGAAAAATCTTGTTCTAATAGGAACAGAGAACAAAGAAAAAGGGTTTCACAATTAAAGAAAAGGGGAAAACAAATTAATCTCTTAATGATGAGATAAAGGTAAAGGTTATAATGTAACTCTTATGTCTCGACAAGTGAGACTTATGGTTGAGTTTTGGTTAAAGATAAAAATGAACTTGAAGATAAGCTTGTAGGCTTATTAGTACTAAAGATGAAAACTAAAAGAAAGGGAAAAGAAAGAGGAAAGAAAGGAAAACGGGTCTCTTTCTTTGGTGACCAAATTTTAGTAACTTAAGTTTAAGAGATTTGGGTTTTACAATTAAGAAATTTGTAAATTGTGACAATTAAGAATCGGAATCAAAATTATATCTTTAGATATAAAATCAATTTTAGTTAAATCTGATTGGTTTTAACAATCAGGATTCGTTAATTATAATTAATTCAATTGTTAATTAGGATACTAATTAAGCGTATTGGTTAATTATAACAATGAGAAAATTACAATTATAGTTGTGGGAGGAATTAAACAAAGTTAAATTGTTGAATAGAAAAGAAAAGCTTTAAGCTTAATCATAGGCACAATTAACTAATTGTTAGAAATTAAACAAAATTTAAACAGAAAATTAAAGAAAATTAGAAAATGTTTTTAAATGAATCAAGTTTCCAAATCATGATAGTGATGAAGATGAAAGTTTGAGGATTTCATGATTTTCTACCCTTCATGATGTTTTCCAATCAGTTTATTTGAAATGATTGTTTTCAATAAACATCATTGTGATTAAATTTAGTTTTCATTGCTGTTCAATATGAAAACTATCAATAGATTGAGATTAAGTCTCACAATTAGTTGATTATAATCAGTGTTTGCTAGAAGTTAATTTCATGATAACAATTGCGAGAGAAACTGTCGACCTTGAATTCAATTGATTCTCAGAATATTTATCATGGTAAATTCGTGAAAAGGTACATTAAGTTATCATGAATTCGATGAATTTATTGAAATTCTGAGATCTAACATCTGTTACTCTTAATTGTTATTCTGATCACTGATGATTAGAATTCAATTTCATTAAATTAACACCATCGATTGATATTCTTTAATCTTCTCTCTCAACATCTCATCGTTTATGAAGATTATCACTTGGAACACAATTACCGGTCGATTAATAATCTTTTCTGTTGATTGTTGTTCAAATTAATTTCCGTTTCCGATGAAGAATAAGAACAAATTATGGATGTGTAAACTTTTCCACCTTCTAATTGTTAATAATAATCTAATTTTGTTTTTCTTTCTCAATTTAGTCAACCAAATAATGGAAAAAATTTTCTCAATGGTTCCTATTGGTCAATTCTCTTTCTTTTTCTCTTTCTAACTCGAAAAACAATTCGTTGTCATCACGATTGTGACAACGTCGTCACGCCAACGACAATTTCGTGTAAATAAGCTATTCATCGGGAGTCTTAATTATCTGATTGCTCACTAAATAGATTGTAATCATTAACCAAATACAAATCGAGTTGAGTGTTTGTAGTTGTATCATCATAATCAAAGTGTTTTTCATTGATTGGAAATCATCATTACCAGTGTTTCTCATCATTACCATGACCAATATCCATCAATTTGTGACTCAATCAACACGATGACTTTGTTGACATCAACATGTTACTTATCAAAAATGTGTCAATCTATTAATTGTGATATTAAACTTTTCGTATTGTCAAATGTTCATACTGATTCGAATTGAATAATTGAGACAAACTGCAGAAATAACTTTCCTGATGACCACTGGATCTTTTTATTACTCTTTTCATTCAAATTGTTGTATTGGTCAAGTGATCGAGAAAATCGTTTGGACACAATTCAATGGGAAAATTATTCCTTATATTCCTTCCCATCTTAATCATTTTCTGTGTTCTCTATGTAATTAATCAAACATCTAATCCAGTTTTTGGTTCTCATCAAGTGTATTCAACTTATTATCGACATTCAAATGTACCTAAACAATTAGAATCAAATTATTATTCAACTCTTGATAGTGATTATCCTTTCCAATTGATTCGAACCATAAATGTCACCAATTCAACAGATACTGGTCATTACTCGGTAATTGGTGATAAAATTTGCCCTCAAGGGTTACGAAAGTTAATTGTTCTTGTTATGATTGCACCAAAAGATCGGGAAACAAGGGACACGATCCGTCAAACTTGGGGCTCATTTCGAGATGAGGGTCTATCATATGGATTCTTAATTGCTCAATCAGAGGAAGAGGAAACAATCAAATTATTATCCCAAGAATCATCAATTGAAAGAGACTTAATCATTGATTCATCTTTTATTGACAGTTACGATAATTTAACTTTAAAGTCAATTTCCATGGTCGATTGGGCTTCGGCCTATTGTCCGGATGCCGTGGCCATACTCAAAACCGATAGCGACATGTGGATCAATGTACCGTTATTATTGTCAAAAGTACACGAACTCTCACCAGGTCTTCATGGTAAAATTTTCACCAAAGCGAAGCCCATTCGCGATCGTAAAAACAAATGGTTCGTTCCTAAAGGCCAATATCGTGGAAACTTTTTCCCAAGTTATCTAAGTGGAACTGCTTATCTAATGGTTAACCGAGGAACCAATTTATTCACTAGATTGTACCAGAATTCATTGTCGACTAATTATCTACGAATGGAGGATATTTTTCTAACGGGTTTAGTGGCCTCCAGAGCCAAAATTAAACTCTATAACCTCAAGAATATTAATTATAAAAAAGTACCTTTTAGCGTTTGTATTTATCGTAATTTGATCTCATCTCATGAAATCTCCAACGAAGAGAAATATCTTTATTGGCAACTATTAGAATCGGCAATCAACGATACTTGTCCTACCTGAGAATGGACAAATTGCTCTTCCATCGAAACAATCAGGTTAATTGTTGGAAAATCGTCTCTTCCATGGATCATCAAAGAAAAAGCTACTATGTGATTTTGATTGTGATCTTCGCCTCTTTTTAATCAACCAAATGATTTACCTTGATCACTGCGAAGTGTTAATCATGAGCGTCTATTAATTTTCTCACAATTGTTATTCCTTGTTTACTAATTTATACAAAAATCTATTTACAATTTGATGTTTTCTTTTTGTTTTGTTTTTAAATGATTTACAAATCAATAGAATAGTATAAATTACTGTTACCATTACGAAGTAAATGTGATCAAATATTGATGACGAAAACGATTGATTTCAATAAACTCGATCAATATTTCCGATTGGAATTAATCATTTAACGAATACAACATTCAACTAACAAATAATATCTACAATCTATTGATTGAATATCGTTTTCTCACATTGAACCTTTTCCATACTAATAAATTAATCTTCAATTATCAAACAACCTTTGTTCATTTGATTTACTTTTCCATTGCAATTTGATTGATAACCTTTTCGTTTTCCAAGCCATTAGTTAGTAATCACAATCAGGTTAATCATTTGACATGAAAAATCTTAAAATTAACAAGAGGTAATTTTTTGATTGCTCATATAAATCAGATGAAGGCAAGTCAATTGTTTTTCCTAATCAATTCTCCATCTTTCTCATCAATTATCTCTCGTTGATTAATTGATTGACTAAATGACGATCCAAGATAATTGTAAGCCAATCATGTTGTGGATAATATGACAATCTAGTAGTTCCATTTGTTTTCCTAGTAGCAACAATTAACGAATACCAATCAATTATAAATCTTAATGTGAGCTTTTCCTTGTGAGTGTCTCCGTGTCGTTGTTGTTGTTGATCACTAAATCACCAGGATTAGTTGAGAAACGTATGATAAATTAATCCATCCAATGTGATCGAATTGCTTATCATCTAGAGTCATTCTTTTACTGATAATTAGAAAAGCAAACAGAACAATTAATGGAAAAATTAAGTGAAAATCTATAAAAACAACTAACAAGTGACAGAATTGGATAGACAACAAAAAAGAGATGTTGATTACTGTTTGTTGAGAGAGTTACAATTAATAGATATCATTTTTTTTTTCTCATAGAAAAAAAACAAGTTAATACAAAAGTAAATTAACTAATCAAGTTTGGTAATCAAAAGACTAATCAGTTAACAGAATTAAATATAAATAAAGGCGAGAAAATTAAACTTACCTTTTTTATTTTAACCTTTACATTGAAAGCAACAAATTTGTTTACATTTTTTTCATTCACTTTTAGTGTTCACTTTTTTTTTTGTTAATTGTATTAACTGGATGAAAGATCATTTAATTTTCATTGGATTGAAGTTATATTATGGACTATCGTTATAAATTGTATCTTAATCGTTTATTGTCATCATGGGTTAGTATTTTTCCAATCAACTAATTGCAAGATTAATTTTCGCAATCAAACAAAACCAAAACACTAAACTTTAACCTCGTTCACATGTTAGTCTATTTATCGAGCAACTAAAGTGAGAATAACTTGTTGATCAAATTTCCATGAAAACGGTTAATTGAAGTCAATTTACTTTTCTTTTTGTTAATTGTTTTAAATTGTTACAATTTAATTGTTAATTTTTTTTCAATATAATATTCTGTTGACTTGTGAACCAATTTCTTATTCTACTTGTTAGTTAATCGTTTCTAAGGTTAATTTTTTTATTCTTTTTGAGATCATTTTTGTCTCTTTGTTTTGTTTTTCTTTTTGTGGTTTGATTTTGATTTTTGATTTTCTTTTTTTTGTTTTCTTTTTTCATTTCCACTTGTATACAGGGTGATCGAACTTGGGAATTCGCTATTGGATTGTATCTAATTAAATTGTATCCTTCGTCTCTTCTGTTGACCGCCATCCAAGGGATTCTCGCCTCAAGTGCTACAATTATCTTGGCTCCTATTTTCGGTCGTTGGATAACCAAAGCATCGCGAATCCAAGAAGTGAAAATTTGTCTCTTCATTCAAAATGGAGCTGTGGTCATTTCTTCAGCATTTGTCGCTCTTTTCTTTCTCCAGGATCAGATAGAAGATGAAAAAATCCGAAAAGTAATTATTACTAAACCACCCAAACCTAATTGTATGTTTAGGAAAACAAAAACTGTCCTCTAAATTGTATTGTCCATCGTTAATCTTCATGTAACTCACTTGGACAATATTTCCTGTGTCTTAATCATAACTATTGGTAAATTGGAAGCTAATTGTGTCCCTCAAATCAGCATTAAATCAGCAGTGTCACTTGTTAGCATTACAATTGTCACCTTGAGTTAATTTAATGCATTTTTGAACCTGATCAATCTGATTTATTACCAATTGTGATCCAAATCAATTAATCATTGTTTTTTTCGCTCTTTTTTCTAGACAATTGCATTTATTGCTCCAATTGTATTAGTTGGATTCTCATTAATATCTCAAGTAACCAGTGCTGGATACACATTGTGCCTCGAAAAGGACTGGCTGGTTACCTTGGCTGAAGATGAGAAAAAGTTAACAGGTAATCAATTGATAATCTAATTAGCTTGCTGACCAATTCATCAAAAATGGTCTTCACATTTATGGTTTTGTTTTAAAAATTGATTAACTTATTTCTCAAATCATTCATTAGCTAATTTCTAGTATTAATATTACATGATAGTAGTTTTATTTGCTTCCAATTTCAATTGAGATAATTGTCAAAATATTAATGCTGACTAATTGATGACAATGAACGGAAAAATCCAATAGTAATTGAAAATCTTCCGGTGTACTCATTAAATGATAATCCATGTGATTTGATAAACAAATTAATCTATTGACAAACAAAACATCGGCCTTGATTATATCTAATCACTTAATCTATTATTATTATTATTATTTTGTGCTTATTTCCTGAAACAATCAATGTACAGTTATGTTTATATCTGATTCCTCTTCACCCTTTGGTTAATTCAATTGTTATCCTTTAATTAGATGATATTTTACCATTTAATCAATAGCAATTGTTATCTTACTGCAAACAAAATAATAGATTAATAGATTTTGATACATAAAAGACCTGAAACAATGAAATTGCGTAAACTTAATCAGTTAATTTTGTTAATTTTCCTGAACAGATTTGAACGCAATGTTGCGACGATTGGATTTATCATGTCAAACTATTGCTCCTTTTCTGGTTGGTCTTTTAATGCAATACTCGGAATTGGCATCAGCGGTGTTTTTCATGTTCTGGAACTTTTTCTCTGGATTCTGTGAATATGCTGTCCTTAAATCGCTCTACAACCAGGGAATACCCGCTCTCATTGAACCTAAACAAAGTAAATCGGGTTCGGTCAATGATCTGAGTATCTTTGATTTAGATGCAATGAAAAAGTATTGGAAAACTTTTTCTTTACCTGGTATAGCATTTGGTCTGGTCTATTTGTCCATTTTAGGATTTGATTCGGTGACCGTTGGTTTTATAACCTCAAAAGGAGTCGAAGAAGGTCTCATTGGTGTTGTCAGTTTAATCGGAGCCATTTTTGGTATTTTGGGTACACTTGTTTTCCAATGGTCAGCTAAACATATCGGCTTACGACTAACTGGACTTATTGGTTATGTTATTGATTTAATTTCTCTGTCAATGTGCCTTGTAATTGCTCTAAGTCCCGATTGGTTTGGCTTTAATTGGGGAGATATGACTGGACCCATTATACTGTTTCTCATTGGTATCACTGTTTCTCGAGCTGGTCTCTGGACAATTGATCTTTCGGTTAATCAATTGATACAAACTGAATCAACTAATCCAGCGCTTATCGGTGGTGTTCAAACGAGTGTAAATATATTCGCTGAATTAACTAAATTTATCGTTGTCGCTTTTATACCTGCATTGGAAAACTTTTGGATACTCATAATTGTTTCCTATCTTTCAATCACTTGTGGTGGTGTTTTATTTGCCGTTTACAATTATCGGTGTCGTGGCCTAACACCAACAACACCTTCAACCAAATTGAACGACAAAACTAAATCAACTTATGGTACTTTCACCTCCGACCAACTTAAATTAAAACGTGAGACACAAGCATATTAATCATTTCACTCAACTGTTAATCATTAAGAAAAGTATTAAATACACCTCAACATTTCATCTGTATTTTAATTGTAATCTAAAAACAAAGTTAATCATCAATTGTGAATATAAAATATTTGTAACATTTCATCATCTTAATTCATAAAATCATCACTTTTAATTGTGTAAAAATTTACCTTCAGAATCAATGATAATTTTAATATTTTTGTTGACTGCAAATTGTTTGTTTTTATCAAAAATTTTCATCAAATTAATAAAGTTAAATCAAACTGTCATTTTAATTGTCATCCTCGTCTCTTTTTAATCATAACATTCAACTAACAAATAATATCTACAATCTATTGATTGAATATCGTTTTCTTACATTGAACCTTTTCCATGCTAATTAATTAATCTTCAATCATCAATTGTCTCTCTCATTGGTTAATTGAATCACTAAATGACGACATTATAAGATGCTCATTAGATTCTTTGTAGTTCCATTTGTTTTCCTAGTAGCAACAATTAACGAATACAAATCAATCATAATCTTTATCTTTAATTATGTGAGTATTTCCTTGTGTCTCTGCGTCATCGTTGCTGATCACTAAATCGTCAGGATTAGTTGAGAAACGTATGATAAATTAATCCATCCAATGTGATCGAATTGCTTATCATCTAAAGTCATTCTTTTGCTGATAATTAGAAAAGCAAACAGAACAATTAATGGAAAACCTCACCATGACCTTAAACACGAAAGGTTCGGTACCAATGATAATGTAATCGATCCTTGAGACTCAGGGAGTAGACACCAAAATACTCAAATATCTCAATTACAGGATACACGTTATTGAGATAATTTTGAAATTATTGTGATTACTCACCAAAGAGAAACGCCTAAGTCGTATTGTAGATAGTGAATGGACTGACGATTCAATTAAACACTAGTTTTGAATATTCTAGCCTTAGGCTATAGTTAATACATAATAGTTGTACTTGAATGCAACGAGATTTGACACAAGCAAGTAAATTTGGAGCATTCGAGATTGGAGTTCAAACAAATTGGAGTTGTGGTTCATTCAAAAATGATTTGTATTCAAAATATTTACTTGATAGCAAGCAAAAGTCGTAACGATCATAACAAATAACCAAAGCATCTTCAAAGTTAATTGATAGCTAATACCAATTAGCCTAATTAGCGCAAGCAAAAATCTATCGGTTAATTATGACTCGTCTTGTTCAATTAATCTTTCAATTATCACGATAAAAACCTTTCCATATCATAACAACCTAATATCCATTATATCATCATAAATATAAATCACGATTCATCTGATAATCAGTTGAATCAAGAGGATAATATCCAATTTAATGTCGTTGATGACAATTTATGGTCTAACAAAAAGGAGAGAAAAACCTAGATACTGACAATTGACTCGATTATCTTGAAGCGTATCAATCAAATCGAATTGGCAAAAGTAGAAACAACAATCAACCGTATCAACAACACAATCCAAACTTTTCTCAGGTAAAAATGGTTGAAAAGAGATAAACAAAGCAAGAGTAGAAAAAGAAATGACCCAAAGAACCAGAAACCTAAACAAGATTCAGAAAGTTCCGTTAATCAGGATGAGCAGGGAAAAGAAAACAGTTAATGTTTCAATAGATAAAAATCTTTCTCATGTCCGAACGAGTGAAATTTTCTCAACTTAATTGTTAATCTATTTCTTTTTTTTTCTCTCTCAAAATTCTATCAAATTATTATCATAACGATATCTTCTAATTGTGCTACTTGAAATCCAACGAATTTAATTTGATAATAATCTGCAACCTTTTCTTTGAGATGAACAAAAGTGATAATCAAAAAGGAGATCAAAGTTAATTGTGTTTACTTTTCACCGTAAATGTCTATTAGTATATAAATCGTTCATTGATCGAGAAATCAATTTAAAGTAAATAAATTTATTTCGATTTACAGGATTACAATTGATTCTTAATAATTAGATAGAAAAATATTAATAATATATAATAGAAGTAATAAAATTAATGAGAATAATTAAGTTGATGTGAAGTTGAAATTGGGCTCATAGGTTGTGATCAATGAGATTCCTTTTCGATTGACAATTAAGTTAATTGTTTCTTTTTTTACTCTATTTAGGAACGTTCACCTTGAGATTGATTTCGACGGGCACCGAAAAGATTTGGCCTTGGACGACTTTTAAATAATGGGTTTGAGTTTCTTGATCGTTGCCGTTGATTAGTTAAATTACGTTCGGTGGTTGATGATGGAGCATGAGAATGATTTGATTCGGATGATTTATCTTCTTCAGAATAAGAATCATTTTTACTCGAAGATGATGATGATGAAGATGATGATGGAGATTCAGCAACAGAACCTGAGATGATTGAAATGGAATCATCGCCATTATTGTTATGATCTTTAATTGTTTCCTCTCTGATTGGTGAATCAACTGATGGAGTTGATGGTTTAGGTGAACTTGTTGTTTCCTCATCCGGTTTTGTATTTCGACCACGAAGGAAACTTGGTCGACTTCGAGTTCGTCCCCGTGTTGTGACCGATGTTAATGAATTGAGTGATCCTGATCGTCGAGATGAGCTTCGTGTCTCTGGTGTTGGTGTTGTGGTGGTGGTGGTTGTGGTTGTTGTTGTTGTAGTTGAACCTCGAACTGATGATGTTGAACCAAAACGTCCACGGGAAGAACCAAATCGACGAGGAGCTGAAGTTGTTGGCATTGAATAAGAGGGTGAAGATTTTGGTGTCGTTGAACTAGTTGATGGTGTTGATGAAACTGTTGTCGATGAAGATTTATCTTCATCTTCTTTGGCCTCAAATTCACTTGTCCGACCAAAAGGACGATTGGCTCGATATGGTTTTCGAAGGGAATTTCCAAAATTTCTTGGACGAGGTCTTGGGGTGGTCGTTGTTGTTGTTGTTGTCGATGTAGTCGTAGTGGTAGTCGATGAAGGTGATCGTGGACGCGTCAATGAGCTCGGTCGAGTCGATGTATTACCAAATCGTCTTCTAGAACCAAAACCTAATGAGAAACAAAAAGCCGATCGAAATGAACATTAAGCTGTCAAACAATCAAAACACTAATCAGTAAAATTAAACCAATAAAACACTGACCTGGTCTTGGTCGACCTCGAATATCATTGGACTCATCTGCGGGTGAACTTGTTGTCGTTGTTGCTGTTGTTGTTGATGGTTTAACTGTTGTAGTTGTTGTGGTTGATGTTGTCGTTGGTGTTGTTAACGATATTGTCGATGAAGGTGCCAACGATTTAGACTTAAACGATTGTGATCCTGGTGACAAATCTAATTGCAAGGATAATATAATAATAATCAGTAAATCACTTGCTCTCATAATTTATCAATCCAAATGAAACAATCACTTTGACAAACAAAATTAATCAACAGAAAATCACCAAAAATGAAAAAATCACAATTCGCTCACAATCAACATCAACTTACCCAAACTAATTTACAATAGAAAGTAGTTAATCACAATTAACGGACGATGATTGAACAACAATTAAAGTAAGAACAAAAAAAAATTAACTAATCATTGAGTGAAAACAAATTCAAATATAATGAATATTATTTGTATATACTCAATGAATTGATAACACAATTAACATTTGAACTAATTTGTCTCTCTATTGTTAATTTGTTACCTTTTTGATGAGTTAAATTGTTACCTTAATATTGTAATAAATATAAATAAATTATTAACAATCAACGAGACTGATGAAGCGTGATTAAATAATCACAACATGATCTTTATGCCTTCCCTTGATTATGATTAGTTAAATGATTTAGGGTAAATTCATTTAATTCATAATATCAAAAATAATAGAAATATATTTAAATTGTGATTAGTTTGATTTCTGTAGGAAAAAAAAGGCTAATCAACTATTAATAACAATTTAACTATCAAAGTGTGTAAGGTAATCATCATTTGATTTTATTTTGGTATTAACAATCAACTTAAATGGCTAAGGAGATAATCACATCATTTAAATTGTTGCTAAATTGTTGTTGACTTTTTTTTCTGCTATTACAATCAAATTAAATTGTTTCCATTTTTTTGTCACAATAATTTCTTGATTATTAACTCATCATCTTAATCACAATTATCGGAATGGTTTATACAATCATATAAGTTGAGAATCAATTGGAAAATAATTATTAGTTAATTGTTGTTGAAACGGATTTAATCAATGATAATTATTTGTACTGATTAAATGTCAACCATTGTCAACGATATTTTTGAATATTTAATTGTTGATTAAGTAGTTAATTTATTATATAAGAGACTGATTAATGAGTAGTTACTAAAATAGTTACTCAAGTGTATTTGATTATAATTGGTGATGATTAACTAAATGATTTGGATAGACAACAAACCCTTTTTTAAATTGTTGTTAAATCATCATTTCCTCTACCAGGAATTAAAACTAATGCCAATCAACTTTTTGATTAACTAAAATAACTAAATTAACTTAATCAAATTGTTTTTTCTTCCTTTCGTAATGAATATTTAATTCTTGATTAGTTTAAATTGGCTTCAATAGTACAACATTAGATTCCGCTTTGTTTTTGATTGTAATCTAAATTGTTACCCTACTCGTAGAGCCAAAAATATACAATTAACTTTTCCGATTTGCACAAAAACTAAATTAACTTAATCAATTGAAGTGCATCTACAGTTAATTGTCAATTTAGTAAGAGTAAAAAAAAAGATTTCCTTTCTAAGCAAATCAATTGTTTCCCTTTCATTTTTCAATCAATTGAAATAGTTTTTGAAACAATTAACTAATTTTCTGTGTAATACTCAAGTTAAGACTCACCATTAGGTAATGAATGACGATGATGATGAAGATGATTAATAGATAATTGGTCTGATTGGTCAGTACTCTTGGGTGGGTGGGAAGGTGATCGAGTGACCGGTGGACTTGGAGAGGGAAAACCGTGTCCAGTGAAAGGGGAAGAGGTCGATGAATTGGGAATATGACGAAAAGCTTGACCAGGAAATTGAGGGGAAAATGAGTTACCTCGAGAATTAATTCCTTGGACATTATTAACTCGAGGAGAATCATAATTAGGTCGATTGATTAGATTATGATTAGAACCATAACGAGATACATTTGAAATTGGATTAGAATTAGAACTTGGAGTTGATGATCTATCATCTGAAACGGAAACGGAAACAGAGATATCGGTTGAAGGGTTAACTGTTGTTGAAGGAGTGACTGGGGAGTGAATATGAGTATCGATTGGACGAGATTGATAATTAGAGAAATAATTAGATGATGAAGATGAAGATCTTGTTGAAGGTTTAGAGGTTACAGTTGATTCTCGTCGTGTACTCGAATCGACAAACGAACGAGATGGAACAGTGGAAGACGATGAAGATGAGGAAGATGAAGAAGAAGATGACGAAGAAAATGTTCCTTTAGGTAATTTATCAGTTATCTTATCATAACCCTCTAAACTTGGTATTGTGTCCAAACTTGAATCAGCCCCATTTTTGGTAACTCGGGTCACGGTCCCGTTTTTATTAGTATCATCATCGTCGTAATAATAATAATAGTAGATGACAGTATCATCTTTTTTACCTGTGCTGTTTGTTGATGGTGATGTTGATCCTGTTGATGAATTGATTGAAGGTAAAGATGATCGAGTGATTTTGTTTGTTTGATGTAATCCAGATTGATCTTTATCCTTAAGAGATAATGACGATGATGATGATGATGATGATGATGATGGATTTGATGATAAACTAGACTGACGAGGGCCAACTGTCGATGATGATGATGATGGATAGTAACGACTTGATGATCTATCCTCTGTTAATCTACTTTCCGAACTTGAAGATGATGGTTGGACTCGAGAAGATTGGCCTGATATTGGTGGTGGATTAAGTGTCGCCGGTGGTTTCCAGGTAATACTTTGGTGTGGTGAAGCGTTTCCACTGAGAACTGATATTACCTGTGGTTGTTGATGACGCGAGGAAACAAAATTATTATTATCACTTGCTAAAGCTCCAGTGGGTATTATGCTTGGTGGTTGATATGAAGATGAAGATGAAGATGAGGATGATGAGGATGATGATCCAGAAGATGAAGACTGGGATGAGGATGGATATTGAGGGAATCGTCTAACTGATGAAATTGGATCTGATTGGGTTGATTCATCGTTCGATGGATCATTATCTACACCGGTGTAAGAATTAATTGTCGAAGGTGGAAATTGATAACTTCGAGAACTTCGGATTCCACCTTCGGCAATTGGATCAGGTGAATCGTCTAAAGATGATGAATGATCTCCATCATCTTCATCCTCATAAAGATGAGATGAAGGTGAATGATAATATGAAGAATGACCAATGTCCACCAGTGAAACAATTAGACAAACAATTAGCAAATAATTTAACCAGTTCATGATTTAAATATATAATTTTATCAAGTAAAACAAGTAAATTAAATTAACAAATGTCAATGAATAACCAAATTAATTACCAAACTTAAACAGAAAATGATGATGATGATGATTGTTAATGTTATTGATTAAAACATGGAAACAATTAAGTTACAAATATCATATCAAAGGTAAAGTTGTAAACACAAATCAAGTTAACACAAAGTAACCATTTAACTAATAGAAATACGTAAAGCTTAACAATTAAATATTCAAACAATTGATTAACCTGTTAATTGACTGATTGTGTTTCCAAATGATTAAGAAATGAATGAGAAAGAAAAAAAAACAAATAGGAAAAAGATAATAACAATTAAAAGGTTGGAGAAACAAATGAATTGAACAGAAAATGATGTTTACTTGTTTACCGTTAATTCAATACTACTGAAGGAAAGGATTTAGAACTCGATTCCAAGAGTGTGAGAAAGAAAGTTAAACATGATGAAGAAGATGAAAATGAAGATGAAGATGATGAAGCTTGAAGTAGGCTGAAATATTCAGCTGAAATAAGCTCATGAAACGAAGCCGGTTCCACGAAAAAAAGTCAGAACCAGAAAAAAAAACTGCGATCGTTGAGCGTTGCCAATATAAGAATTGATGATTCGTTTTTTTTGAGGTTCCTTTTTGTCCTACTTTTTGTTTTCTGAATAATATCGAACTGATTAAAGATTATTAATTGTTGAAACAATTAGAAAATCATTTCAATCGATTGAAATTCAGGCACAATTAAATAGATTAACTCTAATTTCAATTGTTCTCGTCAAACTAATGTCGTATTAGTTTCGTTGTAAGAAACAAATTGTACCTCTAATTGTTGTTGATTACAATTAAATTATGTAAATAAATCAATTGATTATTTTAAAAGTTACCACCATTTATTAATCATACACAAAAATCAAACTAATTGTTACTTTTCAATAAGTTGAAAGGTTTAATTTTAATGTACAACAATTTGTATTACTTTAAAGTATATCATTTAATTTTTATGTTAATATTATCACAATTAACTAATTGATTCAGAATAAAAAGGAAAGGGACAACAATTAGTTGATTGCTATTGGGTTTCCGCTATTGTTTAATTAATAGGAATCGTTTTATTAGTCTGTGTATTTTAATTGTTAGTTGAAGTGATTAACTTACAGTTACCGTTTTGGTTTAAATTGGGATTAACGTGAAGGTGAAAGTTAGACAAGTTAATTTGATTGTCAGCATATTGTAATTCACTGATTTCTACCTATCAATCATGTTAATTACTTAACTAATTAATTCCTCTAAATCAGGTTTATCGTTATTAGTTTTAAAAAGCCAAAAAAAGGTTCACAATCAAATAGAAACAGTTAAATTCAAGGTTACCCTATTTCTAAGATGAACCTTTTTTTCATGTCTTCAATATCTTGTTTAATCACAACAATTTAAGAAACAATTTAAGGATCTGAAATACAATTAACAATCAAAGTGATTTAGTCTCACAATCAAACAACCATTTAATTCCGCTTTTTTTTTCTCAATACACTAAATTGTTGTCACAATAGAAAATACAATTAACTGGGAATCGGTTATTTTTTTTCTCGATCTCTCTCTTCATCATCACTGTTTCCCCATTCAATTAACAATTAACTAATTGTGAAGATAAAAGTTTTAATAACATTGCGAAAAAAAAATATTATCATTTATCATTAATATTGATTATCAAGTCCAATAAACAATTAAAAAAGTTTTAACCTTAACTTTGAATTGAAAGTTGTATTTACAATCATGATTAAGTATTAACAGTTTAATTGATTATTGTTTAAAATTAATTGTCAATTTAATGATGGACAACAGTTTAGTGGTCTAATTAATTGTGACACTTGATAATAATCATAATTTAAATAACTTCCTGTTTATGTTAATTGTGTTGATTTAATTGTTGATGAAAAAAAAAGGGTTAACCAGTAATTGTTTAGATTGATTAATCAGTGGGAGTTTGTTGATTGTGATTAGATAATGAAAAGGGAAACGTAATGATTAAGTAAAAACCTACATCATTTAAATAATTGATGATGATGATTGACGAAAAATGGAACAACAATTAAATTAACAATTAACTTTTCACAATCTAACATTTTTCTTACTCTTCCTATTGTAGATTATTGTTGTTAGTTAATCATAAGTGTTAATTGTGTGGTTAATTAAATTTTAGGCTAATCGTTGGCTCAATATGAAAGTGAATTAAAAACTAAACTTTTTTTTTTCTTCTAATAATCAAATTAAAATGATAATAATTAACTTAATCCACTGAATAGGTGAGGTTAACCTAACCCACACCTTAACATAAATATGTTATTACCGTTGATTGTTATTGGTGTTAAATCATAACGATTAACAAATCAATTTAGGGTTAGTCATAATCTTGATTGTCTCATTTTCCACATGATAACAATTAACCAAATTGTTGATAATAATATAAGTTTGTTGATTTCAAAATTTGATAAAACTGCTGACAATTAGCTAATTGTTTTATACGGAATCGGAATTAGTTTTGTCAACTGAGAAAACAAAAACAAAATATAATCTTGATCATGATGGTTGATTGTTGATTGTTTAGATTAGAGTTGTTTAATTGTCAGTAATTAAACAGAAACTAAAATTTAAATTAATGATCCAACAACTGTTAACTGTTTGCTGATCAGATTAGAATCTAATTAACTTATTACAATCTACAATCAGTTAATTGTAAGTCTTTTTTGAATGTAAAAAAAAAAGTGATAAAAAAATCACTCCAAATGTAATTAGATTACTCATCATCTTTAAAATCAATTAATTGATCGTTTAATTGTTAAACTAATCTAGAAACAGTTTTAATTGTTCCCGTTGTTAATTTGATTACCTAAAAATTAGGGTAACAATTGATAAATTGTTATTAAACCAGAAAGATAATCATTTTGGATTAGATAGAAATTATTTTTCGCTTTAATTAAAACCAATTGATTAACTTTGTTATTCAAAGAAAAAGTAAATTAAAACTAATCATAATTAAAGAATTACTTTTATAATGAAAATTTATAAATCATTTCATCTTTAAATTTGGTTTAATGAATTAGTTGAATTTAAATTTTCTCTTAATTAGACTTTGGGAAATGATTTATAATCCATGATAATAGTAAAGTAATGATTAAGTTGATGTTGATCAATTGATTAATTGATTACTTTCTAACCCTAAGGTAAGTTGATTAGGTTGTTAGACAACTTGTTTAATCCTTTAAAGTTGATTGTTAATTATGATTAACATTAATTAATGGTGGACTTGAAACGTGATTAAGGTGAAAATCAGTTGATTCTGTTACTTTTACTGGTTAATTTTTTATTTGTATTCCCTAAGTAGGTTAACCTTGATCTGATTACAACTAATTATTAGAATCACTGTCTGGATAGTGAATTAATATCAAACAATTAAAATATGTTGATTGTTAATTGAAAGTTTTTCTTGGTTAACGCGAGTGATTAAAGTTAATTGTTGCCGTTCATTAGGTTGGTTTTTGCTGCTTTTACTTTAGTTTTTTGTTTTATTTTCAGGCTTGATCTTATTTCGGGTAACGGGTTTTGGGCTGATCTTTTTTTTTTATACAACAAAATTAACAAGATGACTTTTGATGATGATTAAAAAATGATGATTAACGATAATTAACAAAATATTTTGTTCTTATTTTGTTTTTCTCTTATTTATAAAGGCACTTATGATGAAAGACACGTTGGACAATTTGATGGCTTGTTGTTGTTTGGTTGATTGTCAAGTTGATTAATTAATCGAGAAGAATCAACTTAACAGTTAATTATTTGAACATGATGATAATTACAACTTTTTTTTTACGTTTTCTTCCTTTAAATCAGATAATCGTAATAATTTGCCCAATAATTGTTGATGATCAGATGATTAGACGACCAGATTCAATGGATTATACAAATTCAATTTTGTCAATCCCATTTTCACCAATTGATTATTTAGTTAATTGTGTTGATGAAAATGCTGTTTTATCATTTGACATAAAGTCACCAATTTACATGCATATAACAATTTAGTAATGATTTAAACAGTTTAATTGATGCAATTTATTATAATACTTGATAATGATGATTTCTCATTATCAACATCTCCTATTACTTTGGGATTTGGTGACAATTGTAATGGTCATGGACACTTAATGACGATTAAAGTGATTTAATCAATCAAATTTGACACCCACAGTTCGTCTCCTCTGAAAAGGAAAAAAAATATCAATTAGAAATTTAGATAATCAGTTAATTAGTTTTAGATGAATTGACGAACGACAACAATTACCGTTCGAGTTGTAATTTTGGGCAGTGGAATTGATGAGAGTTCAGAATCGCGCTTTCGTCTCAATTTTCGTGACGGACTTTGTACTGATTTCGAAAGGTCATCTTGGACATTTAGAAAACCTTTTACTTTATCATCTTTTGATAATGGAGGAGGTAATTGTGGTTCCTGAACTTTGGGCGATTTATCTTCGATTGTTTTATTTTCCGATATTGATTCAGTCGTTTGATTATCACCTTTATCTTCAGTTAATCCGATCTCAGAATTTTCAACTGAATTATTTATAATCTTTGGCTTGGAAAGTTCTATGATCTCATCATTAGTTAATCTCTTTATCACAATTGCTGCTCTGGGGACAATTTTAGTAGGATCGATTCGAGGTTTACTCTTCACTCTCGATTCGTCCTTTTTGGATCTAAATTCACTCGATTTGGTGGTTAAAGTTGATAGGAAATCATTTCCATGATTCTTTGGTTCTTCAACAGGTAAATTTTTCATGGATAAATCTTCATTAGCTGATTCTTTCATGAGAGTATCTTTTTTTGTGGAATCTTCGTGCTTTGATTGAACCTTTTTCTTTCCACTAATTGTAACATCATTTTTAGAAATTGATTTACTGGGAGTCTCTTTATTACTCGTAATTCCTTTACTATTGATTGTCTTTTTTGGAATCATTTCATTTTCTTTTTTCTCCAGAGAAATTTTCTCATCTGAACTTTTCTTGGGTTCATCTTTACTCGAGGATTTGGTTAACTTTTCATTCATTTTTACAGGTATTTCACTCGATTCCTCATCCGATGATAGCTCAATTGTTGTTCCTGAGCAATCTGATGAAAAGAAAATTAATTGTAATTAATGTCAAATTTTCTTTACCAATCAACTTGAATCACTAACCCAATTCATCTACAGGATTTAAGAGAGTGATATTTTCATGAGCATCGAAATATTCACCTGAAGAAGGAGTATCGGGACTATTGTTATTAATTTTCGACGAAAGTTCCAATGGTAAAATTGGCATAACCTACGATTAAGAAGAAATCAGAAAACTACAATTAGCTTAACATTGATTAGAAATTGGAGAAAACAAGATCCATACCACTTTCAAGGTCGAAAACTTTTTCATATCGAGTTTGGTTTTAGAAATACCATTAACCGAAATCGAATCCAATTCATTAATCTTGCTAATTGTTTCCGAATCTTTAATATTTTCATCTAATTCTACTGAATCTGATTCCATGTTCAGTTGTTGATCAATCATAAATTGGAAAGTGGAAAGTATAGTCTGTAAGAAAGAAGATGAAGTAATAGAGACAAGAAAAGATGATGAGTAAATTTGTGTTATTTTTTTAAAACTTTTCTTTGTAAGAAAATACAGTCAAGAGTAAAAAAAAATGGTTAATTAATTATTAATCGAATTGTGTTCTCAATTGTAGGATAGAATTATGTTCAGTGTACCTCCTCATTTAGTGGGCAAATCGGCGATTCAGTTAAACGATTACTTGAAGTTCCAACGAGATTGGCAAAGTCACCAATTGTATTGATTCCTTTAACACTAAGCCAGTTTCGCATTTTACTTGTCAACATATTACAATAGCTTTGAATGAAAAGATCGACACTTTTCTTAGCATTGACCCACGATTCTAGAAGAGGTTTACTAGCGGGTTCAATTGATTCTTCCACTTCCATTGCTGTTTCTTCAATCTCTTCGATCTCCGTTGTAAAAATTTGTTCGGTAGATGTTGATGTTGGTGGTGATGGCGATGGCGATGGTTCATTTAGATCGGTTGTTTGTTCAATCAAATTTGGTTGTTGTTGATTCGGAGAAACAATTGGACATAAATCAGATTCAGATTCTACTTTATCATCCAAATTGTTAGACTTAGTATTATTTTCAATTAGTAAAGCTTCAATATTGTTATTCTCTTCAATTTGATTTTCTTTGATTACATCATCAACTACCCCAGGGTCAATTCGGTTTGAAGATGAACTTGATTTGTTAGCACATGGTGATTCAATTACTTTAAGTAAAGATTCAATTTCGCTGAAAACATCATCACTATTTTCATTTCCACCATTTTCTTTAGTATTAGAATTATTGGAATGTTCACTGATTTTCTCTGATGAGTCTAAATTAACATTTGATTCTATTGGTAATTGATTATTATTGTTAATAGAATCTTTTGACGAATTAACATTATCACGATCATTTGGCGGGTTGATAACAATTTTCACAGATTTACGATTTCTTCCATCCAGTTTGGCCTGTTTAGCAATTGTACTTTCTACAACAGGATCACTATTTTCTGTATCAAGATTATTAACGATTATATCAACAGGCTCAACAATGGAATTGGTGGTTACAGGTTCACCTTGATTATTATTCACAACAGTTTCAGGCTCGGATTGTGATTGTTGCTCATTTAGAGCACTTTCTGAACCTTCAGATTGATCTTCATATCGAAGGCGACGTTTCCTATTTGTTTTTGGATTGATATTTTTCCTCGACTCTATGAGTTTTGTTGCCGAAATTGGATTAGCGAAAATAACTTTCTTTTTATTAGAAGTAGCTCCATTTCCATCATCAATTTCCAGTTCATCTTCTCTTTTTCGTTTCAAAATTCCTTTCGATATTGGGGTTAAGGGATCACAGACTTGATTTGGTGAAGTCTCACCTGGGGATCTGATTATTTTTCCATTGTTTATATCGTTACCTCCATCTTTTGATAGACCAGACATGATTTCAAAATCAGTTGCAGCAATACTGATATTATAAGCTTTGGCTTTCTTCTGACCTTGATGAACAGCTCTGGATCCTCGACTAAAAGGTGAATTGTTAAGCGGTGTTAATGGTGTTGTTCTTGGTGGAGAAGAATTTGATATCATTGTTATATTCAACCAGACAGAATTAAGTGAACAAAAAAGAATGGAAAAGATCGACGTGAAGAGTAAAATCTAAAAGGGAAAACAAAGACGAAGATGGAATAAATAAATGTTTAAAAGAAGAAAAAAAAAGAGAAGATGAGACAATAAAAAGAAAATTACACTTAAGAGAAAAATGGAAATCACAGAGTATAAAAAACGAATTGGAAAAAAAATAAATACTAGAGAAAGAAAATACTGATTCTCAGTTGATGGTGGTGATTGTGATGATGGAGAGAAATGGAAGATGAAGTTACCAAAAATATGAGAAGTGAAGAGAGCGCTAAAACAAAAACAAAGAGAGGGAGATAAGGATAGAGAGAGAGAAAGAGGGAATGAGAGAGATAAAAGAGAGGGAGATGTGTAAAGGACGATGAGAAAGGAAGAAATTACAAAAGAAGAAATAAGCTCAAATGAAAGAGAAATCAGTCTATTATTTCAGTAGAGTAGAACAATTAAAGTTGAATTTCTCGATATTAATAAAAAAGAACAATAAATAAACACCAATATCAACACGAGAGAGTGAGAGAGAAAAAGAGGAGCCAAAAAGAGAGCGGGCCAAGTGAGATGGTAAACAACCGGGTAAACAAGAAACCAATGAAAACACAACAATAGAGAGGGAAAAGGTAAAACTCCAAGTTTAAATAACCGGAAAAATTTTTTTTCGAACAAATCATTAGACTTGCGAAAACGATTAATACAAAAGACACTTTTCCCGTGTTCATAATCGAAATCGATTTAATTAAAAGAAATTAATTGATGAAAAAAACATGAGAACTTTAATTAAGAAAAGTTGATCACGAGGCCCAAAGAAAGAAAATGTTTTCTCTTGGTAACCATGGAAACGGAAGAAGAGGGAAATTTGTAATTCGATCATTTTTGTTTTCTTTTCCATCTGTTGATCGGATTGAGCCATCGATGGAAAAAGTTAATTAATATTCACCTAATGATAATTAAGGAAGGAAAATGAATTTAGAATTGAATCAATTTCTATCATCTTTTCCTTGCCGATGATCATTTCCCTCTCTGATTGACTTTAATTGTCTTCCATTGAGTTGGTCAGATTCCAAAGAGTTTTAATTAATATGATCTTTGTTTACATTTTCTCTGTTGATTGTTTGTTTTTTCATCGCTAATTAACTTTTCAATTTTAGTGTTACTTTTGATTTGTGATGAAATCATTTGATGTTCCGATTATGTCGCGAGGTAAGTTTTATATTCTAGCTTTTTTCTGTCGTTTTGTCTTGTTATTTATTGATTCTTATTTTAATTTTCTTTCTTTATGTTAACAATTGATTGTATTGTAGTTTTACACACAATTTTCGGTTCAACAATTTACTGGTGGATTGATTTAGGAACCTTCGTAACCTGGATCGGGTTTATATCGATAGGCTCCTTTTATTAAAGGTACACTTCGAAAGGCTGTTCGATTGCGAGGTGTGTACATTGGTTTATCTTCATCATTATGATGATTGTGGTTATGGTGATGACGATGATATTTATCTTTATCATCGTTTGGTGGTGAACGATGATTATCTGGTTCAGATTGGTGTGAGTTGGTTCCATGAGATTCATGAGGTTCATGAGAATGATGAGGATGATTATGGTGATGATGGTGATGAGAATGAGACCGAGGAGATTGATTTGAGTTTTCATTTTTTCCTGAATCTTCATCATTTTGATCAGGATAACGATCTGGTGGTGAAACTTGGCTTCGATCTCGATCTTGTTCCCTATCTCGGTCTCGATCTCGATCTCTTTCTTGATCACTATTTCGATCCCTATCTCGGTCTCTATCTCGATCACGATTTGAATCGCGATCTTGATCACGGTCTTGATTACGATTCTCATTTTTATGATTATGGTGGTGATGGTGATGATGATATGGACAAGTTGGCTTTTTATCATTTTGATTTTCTATCCTTTCCTTGTCCGATTTACCGTTTTTATCTGATTTATCTCCATGTGATGAGGTATCAACACAAGGTGGACCTGCCAAAATACCAATCATATCTGGTTTATATCCTTGTGGTAAACTGATTCCATTAGCATTGAACTCTTCATCAACAACGACATAAGGATGACCTTTACCCATAGATGATGTACCAACTAGTGAACCTCCTTGAGTGAATATCGATTGATCATCCATCTCATTATTACCAGTAAGGCCTGAAAGTGAACTAAGATCAGCGATACTTGGTTGACCATTAGTTGTCCCATCCAAATTCAGCTCACCGTTACTCGTCAGTCCATCTTGAAATAATTTCAATGATGAACCCGCTTGTAAATTAGATGAAGACGAAGGTGAAGATGAAGCTGATAACGATTGTAAGAAGGCATCATAAAAAGGATTGGCAGATTGGAATAGAGAATCACCCAGGATCGGTAATATTAATGTTCGAGTCTTATGGCCATTTGAAGACAGTAGCGATCCGATAGATGATCCAGAGGGAGAAGTTGATGAGGATGAGGATGAGGATGATGTCGGTGATGAAGATGAAGAGGAGGATAAAGTCAAAGGTGGTGAATAAGAGTTTCCATTATTGTAAAGTGGTTTCAATAGTTGTAAATTCAGATCATCTTTAACCGTCGACATGGTGTTATCATTGAGCTGTTGAAATAGACTCAGCATATTAATAAAATCACTTGGTGATGAAGAGGAAGTCCCACTCAGGCCAGGAAGGAATGAAGATGAAGATGAAGATGACGAAGATGATGATGGAGAAGATAATGAAGACAATGACGATGACAATGACTGAGAGGATGTTGGCAAGGAAGCGGACAAGGCTTGTTGTAAAGATCCCGTTAGATCACTGGTTAAAGTTAATGGACTAAGATTAGATTTGGACGGTGAATTCAATGAAGTCAAACTTGTATCACCCAAATTGAAATAAGGATGTGAATTGAAAAGCGATTGAAATTTCTGTACCCCAGACAAGGTTTGTGGTGAACCACGAACATGGGTCGAAGAGGAAGTCGGAGAGGACGAAGACATCGATTGGAAAGGTTTCATTGATGACATTAACGAATTCAATTGAAGTGAATTGATATTATCTTCACTTATAACACCAGAAAAGGGTGTTAATGAACCGGAAGACGGCGAGGATTCAGAAGATGAAGCCAAAGACGATGACAGTCCAACGTCACCTTCCATTGACCCTGGTAAAGATGAAAATGTTTCCCCTGTAGAAGACAATGAAGATGATAACAACTCTGATTGTGATCTTTTGTCATCAGCCTCAGCAATCAATTTCTCTAAAGCTTTAGCTTTCTCATCACCATCATCATCATCACCATTACTATTACTATTATTGTTATCATCATTTACATTTTCATTATTGAAAACATGTTGACCAGATTGAGTATCACCAAAGGGATTAATCCTAAGGGATGAAGTGTCTTCATTTAATGATGAACCAAGTGAATTAAGTAAAAGTTGATTCATGGCTGAATTACTAATCTGGTTGATTGTTGAAGCCTGATGACTTGATGATGTTAACAGAGTAGTTTTTTGCTGTTCAATATTGATACCAATGGATTGATCAACATTTTTATTACCATTATCAACATCGTTCCCATTGATATTGTCATTATTTTTACTACTATTCTCACTGCCCTCCAAGGGTTTGGTTTCTTTGCCCGTCATAATGTTACCATTGACCATCCGTCCGGTCAAATCTTCATCATTTTCATCTGATGAATCTGATGAAGGTGATGGTTCATTCATGGTTTTTACATCTTCACCCATTGGCGATCTCACTTTATTCATACTCTGATCTGTCTCACTGATACTATGATTTGGACCTTGTTTATTGTCATTACCATGTTCATGTTTACTTTTGATGATCAATTAATTACCGGAAGGAAACAAAAACCCAAAGATTTCAGAGTCCAGAAAGAAAATGGTGTATCCGCCAGAGATTTGAACGGAGAAAATGAAATGAAAGAGAGAGAAAAAAAAGATGAATTAATTACATGAGAAGTTGAAGGAAACATCTATCAAATTACATTATTACAAATAATAGAATGAAAGTCAATAATATCATCATAATAATGATCGTCTTCTTATGATATGATATTTGCATTTTTGGTCTCTGTTGATCTTGACTTTGATGTAATCTATTCATACACCAAACTGAAATATCAGCTTATCCCAAGGTATAGAATTACTGATTTGTGATGATCAAAATGATGGCTGAAAATAATATAAATAATGAAACGATTGAAAGAAACAACAAGAACCAGAAATTGAGGTTCAACCCGTCAGAGAGATGAAAACTGATCGAAGTTAATCATTTCTGTAATTCATCAAATATTAACCATTAAGCCCTTCAAAAAGTGAAGAGTAAAGTAGATGAAATAACAGACGAAACACCAACAACAATCAACTAATCATTTCCAAGAAAAACTCATTTCGTTAACAAATTGAAGAGAGAGACTTGAAGTTATATCATTGAATGAATGAATTTATCTTCATTATTTATAATAATAATCTGATGCTTTTATCATCATATCTCATATATGTTTAAACTTGTTTCACAATCATATTTGATTGTCTGGATAAACTTTTAATCAATTCACCAGAAAAAGAGATGATCAATTTTACCAATCAATTTAATTCTTAATTCTTCAAGAAAAGGGATAAGCTTGTTAATTGCTATTCAATCGTAAAAGAGATGATAACAATCAGTGAATGATAAAGAAAACAACAACATGGAAGATATTCCAAGATGAGAAAAGAGAACAAGGAAAACATAATATCCAATCTGGTGAAAATTCTGATAACATGGAGAATATTTTATTATCTCTTTCCTAACGATAACAAGTACAAGAAGATGTTCTAACGTTGGAACAACAATATCATGGTGAATAAACAAAAGAAAAAGAGATTGATAATATTTGGAATTTTTTACTCATCGAAAGACACAAGAACGAAACAACATGATGGAAACAACGAAATTCAGAGCTACTCAGAACTCGAAAGAGAAACAGAAAGAAAGAAAGAAAGAAATCAGATATCAAATGATAGAAGAAAAAAACGGAAAATCGATCGAATCTTTTTCTCGATTTTCTATTTTTTCTTCTCATGATATTCATCCAATTGATATTCTTTTTGGATATTTAGTTCGAGTTGTATAATATTACCTCTCTCTCTCCCTCTTTCCACCTTCCTACATGATAGTAATTAATATAATCATGGTTATCTCATGATTAGTACAATTATAATTAGTAAATTAACATTGGAACCATTGATGCAAAAATGTTACATTTTCATGGTCAAAGTTACTCAAAGTGTTAGTAACCAACACAATTGAGTTGATTGTAATTTATTTGATTACAAACTCAGTCCACTATAATTAATGAGCTTTTAATTATTCCTTAACTGTGAAATTGTAATCAATTAAACAATGATAATTGATTACACTCCTAACAACAACTCTTGATCACCTTAATCAAATTCACTGTCGTTGATATTGATTATATTTCACTTTATTTTTGTTGTTGTAAATCATAAACTATAATTTGTTAATCATTATAAACTAATTTTAATAGTTTATCATTTTCAACGGTGTTGATGTTAATAGTTTTAATTGTATCAATTACAATGACATTGTAACAATTTACTAATCATTTGCATTTGTTTGTGAACAAACATTTACCCAACAATTGTAACAATAATTTTAATTGTCTCATCTCAGTAACAATCAATGTTATTAATATTAATTTGTTACAATTAAGGTTCAATTTAACTGATGAGAAAATAGTTAATTGTTTACATAACGATGTCTATTTGATTAGCAATATTTGATCACAATTTAAAACTTATGTTCATGTTGACTGATTAAAACTTTAAGCTCAGGACAATTAAAGACAATTAAATTAAAACTTACATTGGGATGAATACTGGTAACACTTTTGATTGTGGAAGGTAAATTGCAACTGGTCCACCATAATCAGCCAAGTTGATTAGTACAATTAGATTGAACAATATAGATGATAACATGATTAAGTGTTAATCCAATGGGAATATCATCAACATAATTAACTGATATCTTAACCTTTTAATTGTAACAATAATTATTAAAGTACAAATTAGTTAACAAAAAATGAACATAATTTACTTGACAAAATTTAAATTGTTGAACACAAAAAACTGAAACCGATCATAATGATTAACTGATCAGTGATCACTAATTAATGATTGATGATTTTTCATTTACCAATTGTGATCAAGTTAACAATTGATTTCAATTGACAGAAACAAAAAGTGAAACAATGAATTACATTTTTCTGATTGTCGATGATCAACTTAATCAATTGATTTGAATTTACGATTTTTTGATTACATGGTGTTTACCTTGTACCTCCTTATTTTGATTGTTGTTGTTGATTAACTGTTAATTTAAAAGTAAATGATTAATATATTGATCAGGTTGGTTTGACACTGAGAGTTGAATTGTCAACACAGTTAATCACATGTAATCATCTTAATTGTTGCAATTTACTTATCTCACCAATACCAACAATCAACCGCACCTTCACCACCCCATCAAAAGAAACCAAAACTTCAACAATTTAAATTAATTGTTTCAGTTTCTCATTTTCAAAACAATTAACCCAATCATCATTAACAGGTAAACAAACTTGAATTATCATTATTGATCATTTCATCATTTCAACAATATAATTTATTATCTTTGAAGGTTTAATTGTAAAACAAATACAATTTTAATGTTGATTCAGTTGATTGCTGCTGTTAAATGTTGATTATCATCATTATGATCAACAAATTATTACCCTCAGGATGGGTTCAAAACTAATCTACTTGATTGTTTACTTAATTCAGTTGATTGTTATCATTCAATTGTTATTGTTATTACTTTTATCATCAAACTTCATCTAGAGTTAACAATCAAATCATTAGATTAATTAACATTTTACAATTAATTTAATTCAATTGAAAGTTACACTTTCTCATTTTATACTTAATGTTGTTAACAATTAAAGTTAATTGTACCTCCAACAATCAGAAAGATTTTCTTAAAGTTTTGAAAACTAACTCCAATAGTAATACAATTGGAATAACTAACAATTAGTTGATTGTTGAACACTATTGATTAGTTAATCCAATACTAAATCAACTTATTATTACATTGAACTCTCATTGAAAACTTGCAACAACAATTAACTAACTTTTCCCCTCAATTAAATCAATAACATTTTCTCATAATAATTAATTAAAAGTTTTAAAAGTTAATCATTGCTTAATTTTTAATCAAACTTGATTCAATTTCATTTACAAATCATAATCAAATACATGTTACAATTATTTTAATCATAATCAATTTCTTAATTGTAATGATTTACATATCTTATCAATTGTCTGTCCAAATTATTATTATCATCAGTGTTGATAATTTAAAAGTTAATTGTAATTGACAATTTAATCTTTGGATAATACAGTTTAAAATGGATTTAAATTATAAGAAAACAATTATCAACTGATTGGGAGATGCAATTGTGTAATAATCAATTAATCATTTCGATTGCAATTAAATGAAAAACAAAAAGAAAACAATGAATCTCAATAGTCAATAATATGAATGATTTTAATTGTCACCAATATTTAATCAAATAAAAAAATCAAGAGAATAGCAAGAAAATCAATTGTCGAAAATTCAAAATGAATCGTTAATTGTAATTAGTATTTTTAGTTAATTGAGATTCTGTTCAGGATCCGATAACAAGTTGATTGATTTACTTTTGTTTCCTCAATTTGATTGTGATTTTTGATCCTTGCTTTTTGTCTGATCAACAAACAATTAGCTTAATTGTTGCTCTCGTTATTATTATTGTTAATGATTGACTGATAATACTCATTACCGATTAGATCTGTATTGTTAAGACGATTTGTTATATTGTCCAAATGGGTGAGATGGTCACTTGAAGGTCGATTCAAGGGTAAAAACGCTGAACTTTGACTGGGAAGTAAAACGAACCCCGGATTACATGGTTTCTGTGGACATGGGGCAAGGACGACATGGGACAGGGAGTTCAAAGGTCGAATGCTACAAAAGAAAGAGAAAATTACAACAAAAAGAAAGACCTTAGAACCTTTACTTTACTCATGGATCGAATCGGAAACCTCTGAACTAATCAACTTTCCCCATGATTATTACTCAGATTTTTTGGAACTTTTTTTTATCCCTCATTTCTTCATATTATATTAACATTGTAACTTTTTAGTGATTATCTTTTGACGATATTAATGATTAGTATCATTACAATTAACATAAGATCAACTTTATACTAATAACTCATAACTATTATATTAATTTCGGAACTTTTTTTCCTCTTTCATTGTTATCATTTAATTCTGATTCATGTTTACTTTTCATGAAGCTCATTCTCATCTTTTAATGAGCATCTTCATTATCTAATAGATGAATAGAAATTATTATTATTGCTAGAATACTTTAAGTAAATAATGATAATGATCATGATCATCACCATGTTACTCTGAATAACAGAAAATTCAGTCAGAACTTTTCTCCTCTCGAACTTTTTCAACTTTCTATTCTCTCTTTCACTCTTATTATTTTTCCCTTTCTTTTTCCTCTTTCTCTTGACTAATAAGCTTATTATCTTTAATGAGAAGGACAATTTATACTATTAAAAAAAAGTTTCCAAATTAAGTAATAAATTGAAATTTCTCCCATGGATTCATGATGAAATCTGAAGAGAGAACTGATAAAAATGCTCAATATTTACCTTTTCTTAGAAATATCTTTCACTATGTTAACCTTTTCACATCCATCAGGAGGTTCATGGGTTAGGAATTGATTCACATCAGGACTATTCAATTGCTCCCTACGATCAGTTTCATGAAGGACACCATGATCACTATTTCTGTTATTGTTGCTGTTTGACCGATGACCATTCGGACCTTTGAAAAGAGAAAAAAAAAATGAAAAGAAAAATTCGTCACGACATTTTCTCTACATTTAGATGATTCGAAATACAAAATTCATCAAAAAAACTTTTTCAATATTCGATCAGAACGTTGCCATGGTTACTCTTTGCATATATTAACAATTTCTCTTTCTTTTTTTTCTATGAAATTAATTTACCATGAAACGTGGGTTTAAATTAGTCTCCTTGGTAACAATTAACATGATAACATTTGATTCAATTCATTTTTTTCATGATCATCGCCATTAGATTAATAAATTTATTCTTATTATTACCAATTAAATGATAACCTTAATTGATGGAGAAAAAAAATTCCACCTTAATAATAAAGTGAATACTTTGGTTCTTACACTCAACTAGGGTGTGAAAAAAAGTTCCACCATTTTTTCAGAATGAATCATGATCCATGTAATTGTGTATCATTTGAGAGAGAGAGAGAGAGAGAGAGAGAGAAAAAAAAATTCTTTTTCCTCAGAGTAATATTAAATTACTGTTTACCTGAAATAAGGTGAACTGGTGATGGTGATCCAGACCTAGAATCGAGATCAGGTGAGAGGCAACAATCATCTTCATGGAGAAAAAGTTGTGAATTCATCTCAACGAGAGCAGAATTTGTATCAACAGTAGTATTACCGGTTGGTCTTCGTCTTCTTATCCTATTTCGAATTCCAGTTCCAACTTTTATTCCTTTTACTTTTCTTTTACCTTTTTCTTTTTCTTTTTCTTTATCTTCATCATCATCTTCTTCAACTTCCCCTCCTCCTCCTCCTCCTCCTCGTCCTTCTCTCTCTTCTTCACCTCGTCTTCTTCTTAATCTTCTTCTTTTATCATCACCACAATTAGAATCAATTTCATTCCCATTATCATGATAATTCCTTGAATCTGAATTCTCATCATTCTCATCCTCCTCTTCATCATACTCATCATCTTCCTCTTCCTCTTCATCCTCATCACAATCAACATAATCACAATGGATCATCATCTTAATCATTGAATCACAATTTGAATTAAATCCAATTCGCTTTTTTCTGCTTGATGATAATAATTTAGCAATTGGATCTCGATGTCCTTCCGGAGCTGGACAAAGGTTCACCCCCTGGTTGGGAGGTGTAAAGTCAGATATCTCATCGAGGACCAATTTTTCAATCTCCTAAAATAAATGAATAAAAATGAGGAAAAAAAAAACAAAAACAATTAATCAAATCAATGAGCAAATGAATTTGAAAACCCACACTACTCATTTAATTTCATGTATTAATAATATCATAACGATATCAATACATGAAACGTAATTACAATTATCCGATTCAACAATCAAAGACCAAGATGAATTTTAAATTGAATGTAAATCAAATGAAATTGTAATTACAATGAGTAAGAAAAACGTTGATTAAATTGAAAATAATTGAACCGATAACAAAACGAATCAAGGAAAATATTAATATTAGTAACGAAAAAAAAATCAACTGATTATGACAGTGATTATGAATGATAATTAAGAAGATTAAATTAATTAACATGATGAGATACATGAATGTGAACTATTGTTGATGAAAATTAAGTCAATTGTCTGCTGAAAATTTCATGAGAAACAAAGTTGATGATGAAATTGAAACCAGAATTTTTCAATTCATGATAAACTTTCAATTCCAACTGATACTTTGATATGATGAAATATCATTGAGATATTAATAAATTGAGTATACAGAATAGCAATTTATCAACAATGAATCATATTCATGTAATTGTAATGATGATGATGATGATGAAATAGTTGATAAACTGAGTATTCCAAGCTTAAGCACAACAACAATGGCGGATAATCATTTACAGTTATCATTGTTAACAAACAATATGAATTAGTTTGTATTACATTTTTGGCTTCATTATTATTGTTATGTGACTTAATTTTTCATCGTAATTGAATGAAACTATTAGAGGAATTTACTTTTTTTTTCATTTCACTCAATTCAAGTACAGAATCTACCATGATCATGATAATATTCAGTTCAAATGATAATTGTAATGGATGATGATGATGATGATGGCGATGACAATAAAGAGGATAACAATAACTATATCATCTCATTGTCAGGTTCTGGGCAACAATTTATTAATATGATGACAACACAATGATCATGATGACAACTCTCACTGGTGTAATAATAATCATCTCATGAAATATATGAGAGGGGAATAAAAATATCCATCAAATAAACAGGAAAAGGGTTAAGAGAAAATAAAAAGTTATCATCATCTCCATGGATCAATCATGATAAATGAAAAGTTCAGGGTCCAGTTCCAGATTAATCGGAAAATTTATCAACTAATCATCTCAAATTCATATATGATAATTATCGTACTGAACAAGTGACAATCAGATGAGCTGATTAATATTGAAATGTTTAAATAAAATCTCTTGTCTCATAATAATCTTGATCAATTGAAGATTTATTTATATACATATTTCATCAGAATCGATTATTAATTTTATCATGTTGACATGATTGGTAATCATAACAAACTGATGGTAAATATATTTGTCAAATTACAGGGAAAGTTCAGTGAAGGAGAAAATAAATTTTCAGTAGAAAAAAAAATAGATTAGATTTACTTTTTTCATCAATATAATAAGTTTCCACCATGATGATGATTATGGTGAATCCATGATGTTGAAACAAATCTGATACAATATCATGAAATGAATTACTCATCTTACATGATAATATTGTATCAGTATTAATATTAATTGTATTTTATTTATCATGGAAATCAAATGCTAAAAATGAATACGAAGATATTGAATTTTCAACTATTTTCTCTCTCTCTCTCTCTCTCTCTCTCTCTCTCTCCTGAGTATGAATAGAAATGCTGATTCAGAATCAAATATGAAAAAAAAGAGATTAATAATAAAATAATTCCAACGATAATTCAGAAGTTTTCCCTCATGTAGAGTGGACGAATTTGGAAGAAAATTTTCATGTATTATCAACTGGAATATAGCAGATAAAATTTTCGATCTCTCCAAAAGCTCAATCTAATGATAATAATTCTCAAGAATTTATCATAATCATGATGATAACATTTCATACGGATAATGATCACGCAAAGGCGTTGATAATGATATATTTATCATCATCATGGGTTCATGATAATCAATATGTTACTCTCGAGTATAAGTTAATATCGATAGAGAAAATTATCGAAAGTGCAACAAAGTTCAAATTCGATATCATCATTATCAACATCGAGTTCTAACAATATTCTAATACTCTCTCTCTCTCTCTCTCTCTTGTTCATCTTGCTCTTATTATTTTCCTTTCTTCACTCTTCTTCTCCTTGTTCTTCATAAAAAAGTTATAACTTCTCACCTCTTATCTGATAATAAGAAATCAAGAAGAAAATAAATTACTTGGGCAGGGTTTTGAGTTGGAATATCATGAAAAGGTAACAAGAGTCATTCATTTGATCAACATCACCACCACCAATACCCTGAACTTCATAGCCATTGTATTCATCCTCCTTCGTCTTCCTTATTAAAGGCTGACCAAATTACGTGAGAAACAATCGCTTCCAATAGAATCCATATGATTACATTTTGATACAATGTTCCAAACTCAATGCTATCAATTTTATCACATTCTCATGTCATTACCCACCAACATCATCATCATCATTTCCACCTTCAAATCAACCTTATCTTCCTCCTCCATCATCATCATTACCCTTTCCACTTATCCTTTATTTTTTTTTACCTCATTGTCTGAGATACAAAACATCATTTTCTGTATCAAGGTAAGAAAAAAAAAGATACTCTCACCTTAATAATGTTATTGATTTTCTACAATTGGTTCAATGCATTACTCATGATTCAATCAAATCAATACCTTTACCCTGTAGATATCTGTTTACCTGAATTATATATTATAATATATCATCATCATCGTTGTTGTTGATGTTGTTTCATGAACCGTATTCATGATTATCAACTTTGGTCATTTTTTATTACCAATTCCAATTTCATTTATGAGATAAATTGAAACTTATCATGATAATGGATCAGTTAAACTTTTTTTTTCTCTCTCTCATCAATTGCAGGAGATTAACCAGAATTCAGGTTAGAATTTAAGAGAGAAAAATTCATCTGGTCAGCAAGAAGAAGAAGATTCAAAACCAAAATTCTCTGAGCATTTATGACGATGAAAATTCTGAATTCTTAGGGAAAATATTCTTTCTCTTTCCCATGTAATTGACTAATAGTTTCGCCATAATAATAACCATTTACATTGAATATCGTTTATCATCTTATTCGGGGATTTGCAAGTTATCATAATAAAACTTTCACATGCTGAGAATTGAGTAACTTTTTTCATCTTCATGATACTTTTTCTATCTCTATGGTGGTTATATATTTGCTCGGAGGTTGATGGTGATAAATTGTTACCAATATCATACAAGTAAAACAGGATAATTAAAGTTATTAATAGATTAAGAGATAACGGTAAATTGCATCTTATTGATTTGATTGGGTTACCATGTAACATGTTAATTGAATGATTAAGATAAACTTTGTATTTATATTAATATATTATCATCATGGATGAACATCCATTTGGGTTTTGTATTGTTTTCTCATCATTGGTTTCATTTTTGTTTTTCACTTCTCTCTCACTCTCCCTGTGAGACTAATTGTATGATGAGTATGAGAATGAGCAGAATATAATAATTTATTATATGAAACAATAAGATAAAAAGTTCATCAGTCTCAGAGTATTGGGTGAAAGTTTCAACCTCCCCATCATCCACCCAGATACTTACATGAACACCATAAATCTTGTATCTTTTTCATGGTGATGTTCATGATGATACTGAGCATATTGAGAGGAGATATAATAACCACTTAATAGTAAACTCATTCTGACAGGTTAACGATTAAATTAATAAGTTAATTGGATTTTAATGAACCAGAAAAAAAAGTAAATTGTTCCCTTAAATCATTTCCAATAAATTTACAGATCAATATGGATCACAATGTATTTTCACAATGATTAATTTAATTGTATTCAGGTGCCTGGAATATGATTAAATTTTAACATGATACAATTATCATCATGATCAGAATCATTTTATTCAACCTCTCTATCGTAATCTTATAATCTTAATGTCAGGGTACAAGGAAAAATACAACATGGTTATTGTGTTTTCGTTGTTGCTACTCTTACATTATCTCATGAATACCCTCAGGGAATAACAGAGGAAAAATTCAAAATTCACATGGAATTTGAAACTCAAAAAGATATATTAAATATATATTCCATAATCGGTTAACTTATTGCATTTCAGTTTCAATCTTCATGATGATGTTGTTTTTTTTATTGGATTGAGAGAGTTTTTTTTCCTCTTCACTCTTCTCATCTTTATCTTCATCATTCCCTATCATTATTACACCCAATTCAGGGTATTCACATGGGAAATTGAGTCATAATTTGATTGGTACCTTGATGATGAGTTTTTTTCTCTTCTCTCTCTCTTCTTTTTGATTTCTCATATTTTTTTGACTTTATGGTTGAACTTTGGTAGCACAGCAGATAGACCACCATTGGAATCGGATTCATTATCAGTAGATAGACACCAAAAAAAGGTCATCATGAAATCAGGTTAAAAGTAACAATCAATCATGAGGCATGTGAGTGGGATTGGGATTGGGAGGAGGGTGAAGCACAAAAGGGTAAGAATGACAATCTATGTGGAGGGTTCAGTGGGAGGGTATGAAAAGATGATGAAGATGATGAAGATGATATGTGGACTAGAGAGGTTGGTGAATAGATCATGGAAGATGAAGGAGGTTGGAAGTGGATTTTTCTTGTTTCTTCTTCCTTTTTCTCATCATCCTCGTTTTTTCATCTTCTCTTTCCCATTTTTTTTCTGTCTCTTTTACTTCGGTGAAAAAAGTTATTTTTTTTCTACCTCATCATCGTTATCAGAATCTCAGAACAATCTGAAACTTTCGCCTTCGAACTTTTTTTCTTCTATCTTCTTCTTAACATAATCAATCAACCTCAAGCTTTTATTTAACCATCACCTTAAATCAGTTCTTATATTATCAGGATGATATTATCATCGTTGTTTTGCTACCCTTGTATAAGAACC